AGACATTAATATAACTCATTATTTTATCTTTATCAAGACATTTGCTTTAACAAGTAGCAAGTTTTTTTTTCGCTCATGTTTTTCATATTTTCTATAATATTTCTTTCTTATAAAAATAAATATTTTAACTTTCAGTAAACACGCATTCCAATATCCCTAATTTTCTCTTTGTATAATTAAGTTCTCCTAACTTTTGTTTGTGTATCATGCTATACGACAAACTCACTTTAAGTCCACTTTTAAGACCATCTCTAATTCGCGACAGAATTCAAGATAAAATTCTATTTATAATTTGACGCATTATGTAATGCAGAAAACATTTGGAAAATCGGAATACACACATACATACAAAATATATATCACAGTTCTTATGTTTCAATCCTGATTATTCAAATATTTTCTATTGCATAAAGTTATCATTAAATTTCCATTTTGAAGTTTGTTAGAAATTGTAGATTTAGATCTAAGGCGGACTTTGGTTATAACTATTGTTTTATCTTTAATAAATCATACAATTATTTATATATCTCAATCTAGCGAACGATAACCTAACCTAACATTGGACAACATGGGCAGAGAAAATTGTACGAGACAGAGAGAGAGAGAGAGAGAGAGAGAGAGAGAGAGAGAGTGTGTGTGTGTGTGTGTGTGTGTGTGTGTGTGTGTGTGTGTGTGTGTGTGTGTGTGTGTGTGAGTGCGCGCGCGCGCGCGCGCGCGCGCGCGAAAGGGGGAAAAGGGGATAGACATCGAATGTTGAATTAAAAGATAAAATCATACTTGTAATCGAAAACTTGCATCCTGATTTGATTTCGTCCTAATTCATACGATGTCGGAGGAACCATAAAGAAGGCTGGAGAGACCTGGAGAAGGCTGGAGAAATCCGCGGAGTTTTAGAAAAGAAATGCAGCAGCAAAGAAGATGAAGGGGAATACGATAGTACATCGTTGAAATCGGCGCGAATCTTCGATGTGTTACTATGCTACAGTGTCGCCCTCGATGGTGATCAAAGCGAGATCGATAATCCATATGCAGATTTTTTTTCTTGTATAAAATGTAAATATAAAGGGCCGTTAGGAGCTATGCCTATTTTGGCCGATTCTTATTCGAATCTAATTCACAATTTTTTTAATCACTGTGTATATGTGTAAATGTGAGTTTAAGTGTATGTATAACCGCAGTGTGTGAGCTCAGGTACATGAATTTGCTAAGCCCAAATGACTGTGTAGTTCAGTCATCTTTGTGATACACATACATGTGGATTGCATGAAAGAGATACTGCTGCGATCTAATGGGTGTTCCGAATAATTATAATGACCGCCTAACCCACCGAAAGCACCGCGACATCACGCGCTAAGGATACTTTATTGTTGATGACGAGTGTGTTATTGGTATGTGATTTATATCGTGATAATGTATTCAATATTCGTATAAAATAATAACAAAGATATTCATAAAAAATATTTATGTACTGTATTTTAGCACATATACTTTATGATATTCTCTGAAGACTATTTTCGATTGGGAAAATCGAATTTTAGAGCTTATTATATAAATACAGATAGAACGGATTATAGATACACTCAGCGTTATATATACACAATTTGTTCATATTCAAGACCAAGAATTGTCGTGAAAGAATAAGGGAATATATAAAGTTACATACAAATATGTCTGACACGAATGAAAAATGTGAAACTTCAATATTATATTTAATTATACGATTGTAATGAAATGTCTTACCTTTGCATTTGACTCCCACTTTTCCAGTACCCCAGATATAATCTTCACCTGTGACAAAAATGTTAATATCTCAGTACATTTATATCAAAATGACATTTTTTCTTTAAATCATAACAAATTATACAATATAAAGTTAAATAATTTGATCGCATTTGTCATAGCAATCAAATAAAAATTAACACACGAACAACAGAAAATATGATACACAAAGATACACAAAAATTATTATTTTAATTTAATATTAAAAATATACTACTTTTTAATATTAAATTTATAATTCATGTAAGGAATCACGTAATCTTATGTTTTTTTAATTAATGTGATTGAATTAGCTATATACTCACAGTGCTTGCAGAGAACAGGCGTTACAAAGTACACATCTAGAAAGACGTGATTGTAAGAATTATGTTCTGTACTCGTCGAATCGGCTACATATCCTGTAACGAGAAAATGAAAAGTTAATAAACAAATTAATACATTACCAATGCCAAGATAGAAAAATAGTGCTTGTTGCAGTTATTGTAGTACAGCAATGCTGTACAACAATGTTGATATTTACCATATGGCCCATTGCTGAGCGTTACATAAGACGACTCTTCTTCATTGTGAGTGTCAAGGTAGGGCGACAAGCTTCCTTTCAGCATTAGGACTTCGTCAATTGTACCCTTAGTGTCTAAACACAAAATCAGGCAAATATATAAATTACACGAATTATAAAAATAAAAAAGCATTTGGAATAAAATCATTATACATAATACTTCAAAATCGAAGTAAGATACAATACTTAACAAAAAAACCAGACAAGTAAAAAAAATTAAATTTTGTATTGAAAATGCAATAAATTTGCTAACATTAATTTACTTTGAATATTAGAGTATTTATAAGAAATTTTAAATTTTCTAATAACAATAATAATATGTATAAGTGTGTGATAAGATTAACCTTTCCGTCATAAGAAACCACTATAGTCCATACAAAATTTTTATTTATATTTATACAGAAACTCACATTTGGTTTGCAGTGTCTCAATGTCAAATTACTATAAAGACAACTTTAGTAATTTCTTAACTGGCAATTTATACCGATATATATTAACTTAAGTGACGCGACAAAGTTATACATCTCAAATTTACACAAGTTTTGAAAAAGAATGATATTCTTGGAATAAATCCACATTTTGCTGTTAACACTTATTTGTTTCTACTGTCATAAAAAGATTGATACACAGATGTCTTTAAGTATATTTAAGTCACTTAAATTACTATAAAAAAAGTTTACTTTTAACAAAACATAACCTATTTGGTTTTTTCACTTTCTAATAAATTAATTAATATTATGAATTTCCATACCAGGCACAAAGTCTTCCGCTTGGTTCTTGAGCTGCACAAGAGGACACCAGTGCGTTATCTTCTTGAAAATAATACCAGGAAGGAAACAATCACATCAGTAAATTATCGGCTCTATAGAAAAGCATAGGCAAATCTACTTGTTTGTCGGTCGTACATGGCACGTAGCAAACATGAACACTGTCGTGCGACACAACAATAACGGAACATAATCTTCTTTGGCCCTTATGCATTTCTCTTTAGGAACACAAAGTATTCCTTTTATTGCTTCACAAATATTCCAATCATATTAAAAGACACCCTTATTTAATGTACAATCCCAGATTACATGCTTGAGCATTATTTAAAGAAGTCAATCTTTGCGTAATTAATGATGTAGCTGTTCCAAATCTTCTTGTTATGTTGGACATGTACGATTTGATCTTCCCACATTAATTTACAATTATTAAAAATAATCCTTTTCACTCTGCATTAAAAAACTGTGTTTTTATATATATATATATATATATATTTATTTATATATATATATATCTTTATACCATGGAATTGTGCGTTATATAAAAATTATCTCTGTCACTCTGTGTGTACATAAAATATGTAAGATGTAATGCGATGATATTGCCCTGAAGACGTCGATTGTTGAATACCTGAACTCTTCAATATCAATATGATATGAACGCTATGATAATTATGTTATGCATGAGGGCACAATACATCATGACTGCATTATCATTCTCCCTTGCATTTCTTTCGCAAATATCTACTCTTGGAGTATATCTCTTGCTTATTTTCACTATTTTCACCTTTCATATCCAAAATATCATGTAGAACTTATGATTATGGTCTCTGGAACATAAAAAATTATAACATTATATATTTTTTAAACTGGTTTTTTTGTACTATAATTAATAACAATTTAATCCAATTTGTGTTTTAAATTTGACACTGCAGTTACATATCTTGAACTCAGACATGAATGTGAAAAATTTCACATTCATGTTGAAAATTTCTCGAAATACTCTGCAAAACGCTGTCGGCATCTTTTCTTAGTCTAAACAAGTATTATTATCAATTATCATAAATATTCTCCAAACAGCCGTTGACTCGGGAAATATGTATGATATACACGCATAAAATCGCGCGCCTCGAAGAAGACATGAAGGAAAGTTTACATGTCGAGTATGCAGATGAGAAAGATTGTAGTTTGCGAATGCTTACCTAGTTGATGTTGCTCGTCGGAAGGCGTTAATAGAGTCGAAGATAGCTGCGAAAAATTCGCAACATGAACACTCTAACGCGAGAACGACAACCAACGATGATGCTGTCGATACTTGGTGACAAGAAATTGCTATACTTTTCTCTCTTTATGGACAACTCCGTCGTCGTGCTCGCATCGGCTACATACGCCGAAAACCAGCGGACAAATTGCGTTAGATAACAACGATGGGGGAAAATCGAATAATAATATCGTCGACCGTGTCTTGACACAAACGAACACGGTTAGGCCAGCCTGGATAGCTGAGGTCGCCACACTCGAGTAAAAATCGATTACGCGATCGAAAGTGAGTATCGATAAATCGCACACGTCGCAATTTAGGATATATCCATACAAACTTGCATATACTTACGCTTATGCGTGAAATTTGGATATACCCATCATTTCAAATGTATCTTTTTGATTGCAAAAATAGTCTTGAGTCTTATTAAACAATAAAGAAGAGAGATGCAATCTTTTTATTGCCGACTGGTTGTGCCTCTTTTATTCTACTTGACGTCGTCTTATTGCAAACACATGTCATACGTCATCCGATGATAACATTTGGATGAATTTGTGAACTCAACCACGTTGAAAGATTTGCTCGTCTTTTTATCACGTGAATGAACTAGTGTATCATAAGGTTGCATGAGGTTAGTTTGCGTCGCAATGCCCCAACATGCTCCTACTCGTTCCAATACTCTCCAATCTATAGTATACGTATGTAATACGATAATACCGTTTTTCTCTGCTACTATTGCGTTACGTATACTATAGATTGGAGCGTATTGGACCGAGCAGCGAGCAGGAGCATGTGTAGGGGCATACGACGCGACAAACCTATAGTGTATCATCAGTGTATATACACTCGTCTCGGTGGTACGATTCGTTTGTTTCCTTATATAGTAAATCGAGACATTGTCAGAAAGAAACTGTGTTATCATGAGCAATACGATTACCCAGGAAGATTATGATGCGGAGATTAAGGATTTAATGGAAAGTCTTGACATAACCGAAGAGGAGGCAATCGAAGATGCTATTAAATGCTATGAAATGGAGGTATTAAAAGTCACATTCTTTGTTTACATCGTTTGCTAATCATTGAAAAATATCCTTTCGTTCGCGATCGTGTGACTCATCCGTCAGCACGTCGCTCGGAAATCTCACTTTCAATGTTGGAAATCAAGAGAAAGAGAAAAGGGAAAGATATTCCAAAAAGCATTACAAATTTCAAAAAACTCCCAAACAAAAAAACGACATTTATCGAGTTCAATATAATCTATGATGGTTGAAAAGAAAATATTGTTTCTTACGATTGCATGACAAACATATTGAAAATAAAAATATTTCGAGCAAAAGTTACAATCTAAAATATTGATAAACACGCATTCTTTATGTAAAAATCTGGAAAATTAAAAATTAGAAAATATATATTAAAGATACTACATTGAAGAATCAATTGTTCTATTAATCACACGTGCGGTTTGAGCCATTTGCGAACAAGTTGTGAAACACTTTTGATGCTGTCGTTAGAAATAGGTATAGATGAAATGCAATATATTGAATTGCATACATCAGTAAGATTTTACGTATACAAACACGAGTTAATATTTTACTGACATTTTATTTTATCGTAAGATTAGATGTAAAATTTCGGTAAAGATTTAAATTTTAATAATATTTTTGTAAGTTTTGCGCAAAGTGTTATCTTTGATGATAGTATACTTTGCTGATTCGTATTATTGCTATTAAGAGCAAAATTTTCGAACTTATTTACGAAAAATTCACTTGTACAAAAATAAAACTTGCTACGCGCTCCTTCCGCATTTCTTGACGCTCTTAATTGCGAAGTATTCGGGTCACTATCGCCTATCTCAAGACATCGGCGGCCTCTGTTCTCTGTTGTATCGTATTTATTTTAACGCAATTTTTTCATATTATGAAAAGAAAATAGAAAAGAGATTATCAGAAAATGGGAGAAAATGTTATGCACTCTAATAGCATAATTGCTATTGCAATATAATTAATAACAGACGACATTTATTTCGCGCAGGGAGTAGATCTGAGCAACATAATCACAGATTTAATTCTTGAGGACAAATACAAACAAATAGTGATATGTTTGGAACGACTTACGTGCGCTGTAAACGACAAGAGTTACGAATATGTACCGGAAACGTTGCAAGAATTGCGATCCGAATTGGATAAGGACATTCGACACAGGGTGTTTGCAGGCAAGCGCAAGTGTTATAACATTCTGATAGATCTTCTAAAAGCGTGTGAAAAAAGTCATGGAATATTTATATCCGCACTGGAAACAATTACTTCGTTAATGGCCGGCTATCCGGACTTGTTGGACGACGATGGAATTGCTTTGCAGATAGAGTGAGGATTATTCTCCAAAATCAGTTCTAGATGAAGCAAGAAGATTCGAAACTATGTTTGAGACAGTTTTTTCACGAGTATCTACTGAAATATTATAACATATAGGATGTAAAAAGGTAAAAAAAGGGAGATTACTCCAAGTGTAAAGATCAGAAAGATCAAAATTGTGAAGAGAGAAACTTGTTTCATCAGATGATGGTAGAAAAGTTAGCGTTATTTTTTGTTACCAATTATAAGATTGAAATGTCTAGTATTTCCCCACGAGAATTAACATTTTTGTATAAATTAAATAAAAATATAATATATTTGATTAACTTTATTTCTGCTTTCAGATTTATAACTTCCAAATTCGTAATAATTTAAAGAAAACTCTCTCTCTCTCTCTTTTTCTCTACCCCCCTCTCTCTGATATAAAATGCTCAAGCATAGAAAAAAAATCATAACTGATGACAAAAAAATTAAAATTAGAAAGTGTCTATTTCCATTTTGTGCGAGCGTTTACATCTTCTTTTATCATATTTTATGAAATAACCTTGCCTGAAATTTTATTTGTTAGGATCTTTGAGAAACATCTGGATAGTGCAACGTTACAGTGCCTCATGCGTTGGATACGAGAGTGCTGTATAAAACATGAGCTAAACAGGCAAAAAATCTTTGATACCAACATCTTTAAGAAACTGAAGAAAATATTAGTGCGCGAGGATGTATGTGCGAACGAAGTTAAAGAGGCGTGTTCAGTGATCAGAGCGTTGGTCCTAGACGATGATATCAGACACGAGTACGGCAAGGCCCATGAACACGCAACTATCATGGCGAAGGATGCTCTCGATATCCTCACAGGATTATTGAAAAGTAAATTAATTAGATTTCGAAAATTTTACAATTAAATTAAGTGGTGGAAATAGATACAGCATCGTGACAAATGTATTATAGCATATAATATACAGTTGGTTCTTCCTTTATTTTATTATCACTTTCAAATCTTTTCATCATAAATATCCTTATTAAGAGTAAGAACTTTACTCAATTTTTCGTTACAATTTTTAATATAGTAAAATAACAAATTTTGATTGTGAAAATTCTGTAATAAAAAAACACACATGCTTAAAAATTAAAAATTATCTTATTAAGGCTGAAAAGATGAGAATTAATATGTATCTCTTTCACCGCTTAATATGTCAGAATTGTAAACATCTGAATTATTTTAAACAATTAATTATCTCAACTATCTCACAATTTGGCACACAGGATTTAAGAAGGACAAAAGGATTGTAGGCGATCTAATGATCACATTGGCTGCATTGGTCGTTCGAAATGAGTTCTGCCAAGAAGTAGAGAACGCTGGTGGATTAAAGTTCATTTTGGATATAATGACTGATTATCCAGATTCTGAAAAGTTAAATTGGCAGGCTCTGAAATTGCTCAAAGCGCTCGCTGGCAATGACATCGTGAAATCTCACATTGTAACTTCGGGATGCGCGCCTTTAATTGTATCCGCTATCGGTAGAATGAAGGTAAGTTTATACGTGTAATAAATAAAATAATACCTCCTGCCAGAAAATCATTGTAAAACATTTTTTTCTTTTATATAATGTTTGGCTCAATGAATATAGAGACTTTTAAATACATACGTTAAATTAAAATTTAATATTTAACAGGGATCAGAGAATGTTGTAACTGCAGGATTGGGTTGTATATCTGCATTAACCTTACGAAGCACCTCGAACTCTGGTGTGTTTTATGATTGCGGCGCGGCTCAAGTAATTGTAGACACTATGAAGACTTATCCTAATCATGTAAACATTCTAAAGCAAGCCTCTTGGGCGATTAGAAACATGTCGGTGCGAAACAAATCCGAATCCAAGGAGTTCTTAATATATGGCGCCGAGGAAGTGTTGCGAAATGCGATACATGTGCACGGTTCCAAATTGAAAGATAATGTAAATGCTGCTTTAAGAGATCTGGGCCTGAAGGTAGAGCTACAAGAAAGATGGACAGGAAAGGGCATCAGTTTGAGCAACGAACGTTATTGACAACATTATATCGGCAAAGTATAGTATATCGATTTTATATTTTGCTTTGTCTTCCCCTCTCACTGCTATTAATTATTTGACAAAGCAACTTGACTTGTTTAACAAACTTGATCAATAAAATGTTTGTGAATTTAACATAGCAAAAAGATGAAATATTGGATCATGTAATATTACTAAATGTGGTCTCATTATATGTTACAATACCAGATGATACTTGATAAAATATTAACCTTTTTGTTGATTGCAATTATATTTTTAATTTAGAATTTAAAACATTCCCCAAACCGAAATTAAATCTTAGCGATACTTAATATCTTCTATTCGCGGTAAACTATTACACAGGAATTTTTACATACTATTATGTATATATGAAGTTTATATATATATATGTGTGTATGTACTATACATATCTTTCACATATACTGCCAGAAACTTTCTTACACATAATTATTGCTTTGAAAATGTTTGAAAGAGTGTAATTCATCACACTAAACACACATAAAACTTACGAAAATTATATTGCATTACAGCGATATTTGCGTATCATAAATACTGAAAAGTGCCTAACATTAATAAATCCAAGCACATGATAACATTATGTGATAATAACAATAAAGACGGACCATAAGCGACATATTTCTGTTTTTGACTAGAATTTGTTTCTATGTTTAAAATACGAAATATATAAATTTTAATAAATTTGTTGATATATTCAATATATTGAATTATTTAGTGTATTAAGTCCCTTTTAATATTAAAATAATTGAAAAAATAAAAATAATATAAAAATTTTTTTACTCTTGATTTGAAGTATTTGATAAAATTATACTTTTATTTCGTGATATTTATTATCTATGTGTTTTTGCATTCGTTAAAGAAATATTTGTAAATAGCGATTTTTATCTTTATTTTTAACAGGATTATAAACTCCCAAAATTTCAAATGTCCGAAGAATTAACAAAATATAAAATTGACAACATGACAAAGAAGGATGATATGATTTATTCCTAGTTAGTCTATTATAATAATATCCATCTAATGTGTCATTCGAAAATTGTCTTGAGCAAAGACAGGTGGCTTGTTGACTCGCTTTATTAATATCTAATATCCAAGAGCGGCTTGAACATCATACATGTAGTTACATCTGTAATACATAAGTAAACGTATATTCGTATCAGATTTATTCACGGTTTCACATCCTCTATGTATGTATGCATTGTAAATAGAACTATTCTTCTTTGTTCCCCGATTCACGCGCAGAAAAACTTTCACTTTCGTAAACTCGATTATACGCATATCATCGCAATGGTAATGCAAGAGAAAGCTGCAGAAAATCGAATTGCGCGATTTATCATAATACAAAAACAATGCGTTGTAAAACAATGCATGACGATCATCAGTCATACTTACTAGAGAGTTTTGTGTAATTTTGAATTTTCGCGATTTACTAAATGTATGATTTATTGGAAAATAAAAGAATGATTTTATTCTCACTTCTCTTGGCCATATGTGTTGTTAATTCACTGCGAATTAAATTCCTCAAATATTTCCAATTTCCTGCTCATTCTTTTATACACAGATAGATCTTTTTATATGTGGAAAAACGATGTTAACGCGAATATAAAAAAATCGCATAATACTGCAAATACCAAATAATCGGTAATAATTAGTCAAAGAAACGTACTTCACTACTTTAATTACATTAAAAATAAGACTTTTGCAAATGTAATTTATTTTTAAATTTACGGTTAATTAATTAATATCTTACCCAATATATTTTGATCAAATTTTAGTTAGCTTACAATTAACTCTAAATTTTGACCTATATAAAAATTAATCTCTACTATTTTATAATAGTACAAATGCCTTATTTTTAATACGGTTAATAGTAAGTGAAAGGAAATTAAGAAGCTTCTATTGAAGCAATAATTTTGTAAATGTATATCAATCTATTTTTAATAGAATATAATTCCGTCATAATTGATTAGCGATTAATGCGATTAATGTGATTGTCGTGTTCGATTGTATTCGATTAAGAATGTTATTACATTACAAGTATGACATGAAAGTGATTTTACAAAGCGTCACGACGATTTTGTGGTTTTTTCAAATAGAAGCTGATCTATTGTACTGATCATTAATTGGTTGTTGTTATCATTCGTTGTACTTTATTCCTGCAGACTACAATTGTATCACAGTCTTTGACGAGATTATACTCGCGAAAGTCGAGCTACACGTGTAATTAATACACACGTGGCGATAACACAGAGCACATAATTATGGACACTAATGGACGTTTTGTCTCGATAAAGGATCACGATAGTGATTACTATATGCACTTTCATACTTAATGTTAACGTTCTATACAGCAGTGTGCTGCCTGAAATCTCTTTTTCCCATATGTTAATAACAAATATATGTTAGACAAATAGTGCATTAGAAAAATAAAGTATAAATTATAAAATGTACTTACCTGAAATGAGGAAAACAAAAGTAAAGAAATCGATAAATGACTGATAAAATAAAAATGAGAAATAAGCCGAATAAACGAAAGATTCATGTAAATAATTTGTAATTGTTGTGAAAATGAGAAATTAATCAAAGCGCAAAACATGCTGAAAAGATACAGTTCGGTACACAGCATTCGTATAATGTCTGAAATTAGCACGATCAAAGAATTTCGTCATGAATTATATCACAAGAGTAGCACACTTCTCATTTACGCTACATTTTAGTACAATATAATGTGTCCATTGTATATTTTTAGAATAAAATGTGGCAAATTCCTTTAAATGCATGAAATTTTTTTTGTTACAATAAATTAAATCTGCATTTTAAATAAAAAACTTTTCTTAATAGCCACATTTACAGCGCACATTTAAAACTAAATGTCGCTATGTCCAATGTATGTACATTTTATGCACGGACATTAAATGCGATTTTATTCATACTCATCACATTCGGTATATAAAACGTAGATATACATATATATAGTGTTTTTTTTTCTTCATTACTCTTTAGATGTAAGTCTTTAAACTACTACAAAGTCGTCACGCATTCATTCACCTCGAGTGCGACAAACGTGCCGCTCGACAAAAAGCACGCAGAAATAAAAAAAATGTTACACAGGGCGACAGGGCCAAAAATTTGTTTGAATAAGCGCGCATCCGACCCGATAAAATTACGGCTCTGTATCTATCTACATTCAAGATAACACGAGTATCGACTCGTGAATTGCGTGACGCAATATAATGCGCGACATAATGTAAATGTGAACACACGTATGCAAGACGCAACGAAATATATTATACACAAAAGCTTAGCAGTGCGCGATAAACTTTCTCGTATTTACTCTCGGGAAGATCAACTCGAATCAATAAGAATTTGTCGTCCTTAATTTAAGGAATTTGTTATTCCTTCTCAAAATGTTTTATTTCACTTATTTATTTGATCTTTATTTCTACCTTATTTTGAGTAATTTTAACATTTCGCTAAAAGTTTACTCGAAAATACGTACCCAAAGAGTTAAAACAAAGAGTTAAAATAAATGTTTCGTTCTATACATTCATTCTGTACATTCAATTCTAGAAAGAAAGAGAATGTGTCCGCTTCGCGAGAATTATGCTGTTCTGTGATCGGCAGAAGAAAGTATACAGTACATATACCTACATAAGAAAATGCGATCCGCACGATTTCTCATCGCATAATATAAATAAAATTACATACATACATGGTTGTCTCTTTGTCTCATGCAGCAGTCTTACGTTTGGCATGATTTGCCCGTTTCAACATAATAACTGTATTTGTATTTCACGATCGCTCGCGCTAACTTTATACTCATGATTGTAGGGTTATAAACGAATGAAAAACTGTTACCTTGGCTACTGGCGACATTGGCAACACGAGTGCTTGTAATATTTGATTCGGCATAAATTATTCTTCACTACTAAAGTGCAATTTGGATACTTGTCTATGCATTCGAACGACTCGTGCACTTCTGAAACATAATATTAAAATATGTTCATCAAGTACACATTAAGTGGAAATATTTCGTTATTATTATTAATGAGATTTATCAATTATTAAAATAAATTCTTTCGAATGAAAACTGTACAAAAGCACATTTTCAAGTTGTGAGATTTGGAAGCTGTGGAATCAAATTTGAAAAGATAGGGCAATAACTTACTTTTCGGCGGTTTATTTGCCACTGGTACCACTTTTTTACACGGTTCCATGTTACATCGTTGTTCCGTGCTTGGTTTACCGATTTCCAAGCAATTGGTGCTACTGACACCCTCGACGATACATCGTACAAGTCGTGTTTGCACTCCAATCCCACATGTTGCAGAACACTAAAAATGAGACATAATGATTCCATCAGATATAGAGTCTAAATGTAAGTTGATAAAATTGAAAAAATAAAAGAAAATTTAGAAATTAAAGTTTTCATAGAAAAGAAATTTGCACAAATAATTAGATATTTTAAAATATTATCTTAATTATTAATCTTTATTATTATCTCTAATTTCGTTATTTTACCATCGACCAATCCGAAGTGAACCATTCCGGCAAACACGTAGACATTCGACAGACTTGTTCAGTCGCTGGTTTGGAATCGCTACAATTTTTCGCAGGTAAGACGATGAAAGTGTCATTCGTTTTAGCTACACAAGCGATATCTCGATGCTGCACGCCAACACCGCACGACACAGAACACTAAAAGCATAAAAAGTTAATATACAGAATTACATTAATATTTTTATAAAATGATATTGTACAAATTACTTTTATATATGTATAAATTACTTTTACGTAACTGGAAACGTGCATCTCCTTAATTAAAGCTATATTTATATAAAGAGAGGAGAGAGAGGGGGGGGGGGGAGAATGTCATCTACGGATATCACTTTCGCATTGTCACAAAGCGAGTGTTTTATTTTTTGAGATATCTTGAGAGATACTAACAGAACTCCATGGACTGGCGAACCATTTGGCTAGGTCGCAATTCGTTTCTCGACCAAAGCAATGAGTCTCTGTGTCCGGTCGCTCTTTAGGATTGCAGAATAATTCGCTACCATCGGCACACGCTACTTGTCTGATCTTCACACCGTTTCCACATTCCGTGGAACACTACGGTATAAATATATACATACATATAATACATGCATGCGCGAACGTGTGTGCACATGTACGCGCGTGTGACATACATAAAACTAATGTTAATACTAAAAATTGCTTAATACAGAGATAAATCCGAAAGTCGACGCACGGAGAATTTATAACTTTTTAGTGAAGTCTTTCCAATTTATCTTTATCCAATTTGTTTCAATAGGATAAATCGACGATGTTATGCATTTTCTACCTTTGAAGACCATTCCGAGTACAACCAGGGTGCGTGATGCTCCATTTCCGTCGCCGCATTACAAGCTGTTGTCTCGCACGCCTTTTGGGCTTCCGGTTTGTTGGTTAACGAACAAGATTCTCCGGACGTTATGCAAGTCACTGTTCGATTTCGTGTTCCACGACCACACGTCGTTGAGCACTGGAAAATACAATTACGTGAAAAATAGAAAACCCTACAGACAGAACATATTGATGAATTGAAATTAATGTTAGCAACGAGGCGAAGAATTCCATTTCATTTTATTCTACTTAATATTTTATACGCTGATTGAATAATAAAAAGCGAAAAAGAGAAACAAAGTTTGTCAAATGTTAGCAATATTGTTAACATTTTGTTTACTAAAAAGTTAATATGTAATCGAAAATTTGTCTTCTTCAATTCATGGCGCTTTATTTTTACGCCCTTGTCTGTGCATTTGAGTTGACAACTTTTGTGCTCGTATTTCTTTTATTCATTTTTTCGAATGCAAATTGTACAATGTAATTATTTCCAGTATCTCCCGGCCCAATAAGCATTATAAATTGCACAAAATATTTTCTGCTTTTGCTCAAAAGTAGATGGTAATTGTTAGCAATGCATTTGATCAAATTGATAAGAAGACCACCGCCACACTACCGCTTTTATGACATTTGATTTCTCACTTTTGATCTCTAATGATCCTTCGACCTCTTGATCTCTCGATCTTTCTAAACCGTTGAAAGAAAAGTAGCTCTAAAAATGACTAAAATGAATAAAGTCATTTGAGACCGTTAACGATAGTTACTGACTCACCGGGCCCCACGTGCCCAGTCCCATCTGGATGAGTCGTGCTGCGAATGCATATGCCTCAATGCCGGACCCACGTTGGAAAGGTTGAGACAAGCTGGCAAGTTGCAAGTTTCCGTCGTATTTAAATCTGGTGGTTGGACGCATGCACCAGCAGCCACGCGCATTGTCAATCTTGCGTTCAACTCTTGGACGCACTCGAGTCTTCGCGTCCTGCTGCCGATTCCACAAGTGACTGAACATTCGCTCCATGGCTCAGCTCGCCATCTGACAACATTTCTCAAAATATAACTTGTGTCAAACTTGTCTACATAAAAATTGCAGCCTCCATAGATATAGGATAGATACACGTTTCAAGAATTGCAAATATCTCTCTTAGCAATTAGATATATCATAAAAATCGATTCCAAGTGTATTACAAAATTTGGCTATCAAATCCGGCACGATAAAATGAGATAACTATCGAAAAAAAAAGAAATTTATTAAGACAAGTACCTTGCGATACAAGGATGATCGTTGCATCGCAGCGGAGGAGAATGTTTCGGTTTTTCCACGTTCCGACAGCGTTTATCGTTGACGAGTGTCTGATTGCTCTCACGAACACATTTCAAAATCGCCGTTCGCACACCTGCAAGTGAGACTACATCATTGATCTTCCACACGCAAAGACACACGCTCTTGCATCTTTACTCAATTAAGTGTGTGTGTGGGTGGGTGTGCGACGACGCTCAAACCATGTCCGCAACTAGCCAAACGTCTGTTTCAGTCAATTTCAGTTTGGCTTATTTAATTCTAATTATCCGATTCGATTTACACAGAAACGACTTGGAGTAAAGATCTCTTTTATCACTAAACAAAACAGATTTAAAAGCGCTCTCCCAATTAAAGTAGGGAAACATTATTAATTTTTTATCTTCAACAACACATCTAACACGTGTCCAATTATATTGGATAGTAATACGATTGTATTTCGGATCACTTCCCACGCAACGCCTCGTCATCAGTCTAAATGTTTCGTCCACAAGCAATTTTTGTACCAATTGGCCGTTTTTTAATCAGCCCAAAACAACGAGTCAAAACTATGTAGCTTTCTTACACCTATTAAATGTTTAATTATTGTATCCTTTTATCAATCGCGAAAAGTAATCCAGTGCTATGGATAAATAAATTTCTTCCATCAAACACTTACACACGATAAGCTTTACGCTGTAATAGTGAAATTTTCTCAAATTTCGATTACAAAGTTACGATACACACAATACCCTGTGACACGAGAATCGCATAATATATTAATCATACGTGGTTTTTTAATCGCGCTTTACCTCCTCCACATTTCTTCGAGCAGTGAGCGAGACCGACTATCTTCCAAGTGAATTTCCTTCTTCTCTTCTTCCTCGTCGCCTTTGACTTTGGCTGATCACCCGCCATCACCGTGGTTGGCGGATGCTTCATCTCTTCCTTCCGTCCGCCATCGTGCACACGCGGCGGATCGCGATCGCGACGCATCCAAGATAAATCGCTTCGCCGATCCGATCTGGAAGGTAGAGAACAGCGCGTGCTGTACGAACAACCAAGAACAAATCGAGCAGCTTGACTCGAGAAGTACAGAGACGCGCCGCCGCATAGATTGGCGTGGATCGCACAAAGGAAGAAATCCATCGGCGAAATTCGAGTCGAGCGAGCGCTTTGTAAAAGACTCGCTCCGTGATGGATTATAGAAATATTATGACAATCCAAAGAGGTAAAGATGAAAATTAAAGATTGGAAAAACGCGTATCGAAAAACGTACAGAGATGAAATTTAAGATTACCTGAGAATAAGAATCTAATCAACTACAACTGTATGTACTACATGTATTATACGTGCTGTATGTGTGCAATCTTTAATTTCAATGTTTAATAAAGGGAGAGTAGCGTTGAAAATCAACAGTTTTAACGTATCATTTTAAGGGTTTTAGTAAGAATGTATGGATTTACATTCTTGTAACTGGTACTCGCACAGTGACGTGAGTATCTGGACTAGGTATTTCGTTGCCCCGATCATTCGATCCTAACAAAAAGAACAAAACGTTACGAATTTATGGACTGACAACTTTTAATTGTACTCAAAATTGTGATTGGCAATAAAGCAATTACCTGCGACAACCAACGGTGGTGCAATCACTGCTTTACTATCCGGTACTTCCCTCATCGGTAGCATGTATTTGTACAGAACACCTGGATTTAATTCCACGGACAAAATCTACGATAATGTGGCAAGAAATATTAACAACAGGTTAAGATTGAATTCGAATTAAATGCGAATTGTAAATCAAAACTGCCAATATACAATATATTCAAAGATGTATTACATTAGTGAAAACTGCGGTTTAAATGAGAACAAAAGTGAGAGAAGAATAAATAATCCAAATCAATAAAAATAAACAAAATAATGTATACCTAATAATAAATAAATCAAACACTTGCAAATTAATATTATTTCATCTTCGAATTAGCATATTGCCTTACCACGTAAAAAATGAAGCAAACAGAATTGAAGAAATGCAAAGAATGAAGGAGAAAAATTGCAACGCAAATCACAAATCGTAATTAAACAAGAAATCTGTTTCCGACGTTAGTCAGAATGACGACGATCAATGAAAATTCGATCGGAGGTATAACGCAAATAATACCTCCAAGTGTAGAGACTCGTTCAACGGTCCGGTCGCCAAGATGCACTCCATACGGTTTCTATCGCCCCTCTGGTATGTTAATGTCGTACCAGCCGCTTTATAAGTACCACTGGGACTGTACGACCACGGTCCGTTTAGGATGTAACTGCCGTTACTGTCTCTCAACGCTGCGAGTAAATCGATCGTTTGTTAACCAGCATATCAGCATGTTGCGCGATATCGCGCGAGCAAAAAGCACGCCGTTTAGTACTCTAGTACTCGGTGGCCGCTTCCACTGAATTCTACGAGCGCAATTCCAAAAGTGATAAAAACCTTCGACAATTCACTATTTATCACGATATAACACGATCTGATCTCGTGACATCTTTTCCGACGAAAAAGAACGTGAGAGACAAATAAACAAGGTATTGGGATAACGTTTGATAATGCCACTGAAAGCACGCTAATTTCTTAATGCTAATTTATAAAGCAAGATTCTTTTACTTGCATCAATTATTGAATGCTACCTAAAAAATTGCTGCTGAATCGTAGCTCGGAAATGTTGAGCGACATGGCGCCCTTTGGAATCGTGGTCACCTGCTGATGACCCTTAGGCAGAATCGGTTCCATGAAAATACCCTCGAACAATCTGCATCCTCTACCCTGACCGCCGCACACGCCGCAGGCATCCGTTGTGGCGCCGGATCCCACCACCCCGTCGCATCCTACCGGCTGAACGACAAACATGTGCATTTCCAGTGCTGCTACGTTTCGTCTAATTTCAAAACACGTTCGACGCTGTCTATCTCTATTTCATTTTACTCAGAGAGCTTTTACTCTCGTTATATTTACAAGAGCATTACACAATATTTTCTTAAACAACAATTTCGCATAAATTTATTCTCGCACAAATTTTTCTTTCAGCGATTGTTCAAAACTCGACATTTCTTAAAAGAAAGTCGACCACTGATTCATCCTGTGATTAGGAGCACAATAAAAACAAAAACACACATCCATTAATTTGCGCTATATTGCACAGTAGGTTGAAAACACTGAAAAATTGGAGAGATTCGGAGAAAGACAAGAGATCAATAGCAATCGCGATGTCGCGTTGGCCCTGAATGGTCGTATCGGTCATGAATTTCCAGCGTCCTTTTCTCGCGCATTGCTCGCGCTATTCGTACCTTACATTGTCCGGCGACGCAGAGCCACCGCTCGTCATTGCGTTCCATCGAAATCCCGCCGCGTCCGCGAAGATTCGAAGCGTCGCAAGGCGTGCCATCCATTACTGCCGGTTCAAGCGTTGCGTAAAAACGCTCGCCGACTGCACGGCAATTGAGCGCACAAGAGTTTGGCGCTAGGGAAAAACAGTAGTCGTGATTAGGTCAGACGGAAGTTAGGTCACCAGGCCTGGCTGTTAGCTACGTCATCGTGTGACTGGCGTTTGTCACTGGCTCGATTAAATATCGCGAAACGCCTCTTTGTTTTTTCACAATATTACTACAAAATCCATGAATGAGAAATTAATGGACAAAGATTGGTCTAATAAATGTATAAAACTTGCAATACGCTAAGAGAAGGACTACCTTTTGTTTCTTGATTGTATCACAATTTATAAATTAAAAAATATGTTTCTTGAAAATAGTGATAAGATTTATCATTCGACTGGCAAGCACCAACCGTTGACTCACCGTCTACAAAGGGTACCCAGACGTAACTGCGACCCTTGTAGTTTCTCCCGTTGTATTTGGCGCACTGTTCCGCTCGCAGGTCTTCTGGAAAGTTTGGGCATTCCTGCACAACACGGGAATATAATAAATTAATTAAACTTGCGGTAATTAAGAATCAATCGGGGAACAGCGAAGCGTTTTACGTCGAGAGAGAGAGAGAAAGAGAGAGAGAGAGATGCTTTTTTCTTCCGATCGATCGCGCCACTTTTTACAGCACGTTGCACTTCTCCCAAAGCGCTGAGGGTAAATAAAAGCAAAATTATTTGCAGCCTAGCGAAAAAAAGCTTGAGCCCCCGAGTTGAGAGAAAGTCCGTATATTCGCGCAAACATGCGCGAATACCGGCACGTGTGGTGTGTGCTACGTGAGCGGTTGCGTTGCAATTTCCGGGTAGACTATTAATTGCCGACGAACAAAACGGTGATTACTTTGCCTGGGCATGTTTGCGAATCGCGAATGCAGCTCGGAAATATGGAGTCTCGGGTATCGAGTCGGAAGATAAATATTCTCGCACGAAGCACCGTTCTCTCCCGAGTAATAACGAACAATGAAGCTGTGTCTTCTTTAATTAGCTTCACTGTATTTTCATTTCAAGCAATCTAAAGCAATTTTTATTTTAATATTACGCCAAGACCTCATGTTACTTGACATTTTACAGGCTTGCTCTGTACAGATGCTCTAAATAAAGCAGCATTTTGCAACTAATAACTACGTGCAAATGATACCATTATTTGTGTAAAAGGATCGTAAAAAGATGTTCAAATGGGTTCCTGTCGAGAAGTAAACGAATCTTATCGCACGATTCCTGCGATCATCAAGAGCCAATCGACACGAGCCCTTCTTCCCCCCCCCTCCCCATCCCCTTCTCTATACCGTCCATACTGGACGACAGTCATTCATTACATGTGATCTTTAGTTTCGCAGGTGATGATTATTCTTATAAATTTTAAACAACGCCGTGCAAACTGAGCCTTAGAGATATAAATCGACCTCGTGCGCATCCTTAATTGACCCGCGCGATGATTCGTTCGCAACTCGTGATGCATCGTCGTGAAGAAAATCCTAAAGAGCGTGCCCTAGCGCACAAGCCTAGGTAAATACAGACATATCCGTTGAGACGCGATGGGAAAATAGTGACACATGTATTTGAATTTTACGCGAACGAACGAGTTTGCACGGCTAATCGTAGGTTCAGGATTTTTTAACGACTGTCCTGGAAACAAGATCGCCTTCTATCATGGGAAGCGGAATCTTTTCCTTTTTTAAGAGATATAGAGATTTTTTTTTTGTATTGCACATCTCTTTTTTTTACAGAAACTAAACGTTTACATCGAATTAAGAAACATGATAAAAAATCGCAACAATGTTAATAAATTTAGAATTAAAAATTCGTTTATGAGGAAATATTTTGCTGCTCTGGAACTATATTAAAATATTGTTAACTCTACAAACTATACCTTTCATCAAATTGAAAATTGTGATAAGTCTCAAGGAGAATTCTTGTAATATTTTTCGTGAAACGCACTGCAAATTATTCATTCTTGGCTTACCTGCGTATTGCACGTATGATAGCGTTTATATGTACCGATACAAATCGGCCTAGCGCTGCTTGTACCGTTCTCCGAGATAATACTTCGTCTTCTCAAAAGTCTCCTGAAATGAATCATTCGCATTAGCTTACCCATTGATTCGACCCACGAGCGAGTAGTGCGCGATGCGAGTAGCGCTCGATTTTTATAACTGACAATAAAACACGCGCCCTTTTAAAATATTATGCAATCTCGGGATCAGAAGAAAGAGAATACATGCGATAAAAATAAGAAAATCGCTTATCTACGCATTTCATTTCATTTCGTAATCACGTTGTTGTTTCGAGAAAAGAGCTGCTCATATTATCGTAGACGAGAGAATGATGACTCGATATGTTACACTTTCATGTTTTATAATTTAAAATTAAATAATTAATTTGAGAATTTAAACTTATATTTTCTCTCGTGCGTTATCTAATCTTTGTTTTACATAAAAATTCTACATTACAAAATTTAGAATAATAATTGACATCCACAAACTGATTAAAATGAAATAAAATAAAGTTCAAGAAAAACAAACAAGAAAAACAATTCAATCAAATTTCTTAATGTTCAATAGCACTCAGTAATCAGAACTTTCCACGATGCAAAATCTGTAACGTAAAAGAAGAATCAAGTTTAAAGTCATCAGACAATTGTGCGAGAAAGTGCGCGAATTTATTCGCGTATTTACTTGTATAGAGAGCTCGTCGTGAAATTCATATTGCGAGTCACGTAACGGCTCGCGGTAGCACCTTTACAGAGGTGTAAATGTCAGCGACGATAACAACACGTTTCTGCCCCCGAGAGAAGCTCGCGAGAATCGTAGGCCTACCGGTGTATAATCTTCTTACGCTACTGATACGTAATTTGCACGCTCCTTTATAGCTAGCCAGATAGAATATACAAGGTATTTGAAACTTGTGCACTCACGTTTCTTCCAACTTATCAGAAAGTAAATTGGTTACTGTAACATTTTACTTTTTCTTCTTCTTTAACATTCTTTAAATAATATTCTTAAAATAATATTCTTAAAATATATTTTATTTAGACCCTCTATATCAAAATTACCTTTCTTGCTCTTGATTTTTCAAAGCATTAGTCTGTTGCATTTTATCCAAGTATATTGCTTTCTTTACAAAAGAAAAGAACGTTAAACAATTTTTATAACCGAAGCACTATGTCCTATAGATAGATACTATGGAAACGAAAAAGATCGGTCAATCATTAGTGGCCGATCAATCGACGAACATAATCTCAAAGGAATAGGCGTAAAGTATTCAGGCGCAAAGTTTAAAGTTCCGTACGGTTATGCGACTCGACTCGACTCGAGTGCTTATGATCCAAATTGCGCGAGACCCTAACGGTACCGTGAGACGTGCGATTATTGTTAGAATTGACCGCGCATTATCGCAGGTGCTTTGCATTCTCGCGATAGAGTCGCGCGCGCGACGCTCGATGATTACCGATGGGGCCAGATTACCCTCCGCGAAAGATCGTATCCTCCGTCTCGCGCGAGGACAAAGGTGAAACAAAGTGTAGAAACCATTAATTGAACGTGAAGATATTTAGATGACGCGCATCATATGATGCTTGATCTTCATACGTAATGAGTTCGTCGCGCTTTCATTTATGTGACTCGTTGGAATTTAAAGACGGAAATGGCAAAAAAAAAGTGAAATATATTGCAATGGTATTTAATATTTAATTTATAAATAATTACAAGCGCGTTAATTTATATTAGAATTATATTAATTCGAATTTGATCCTCTTTAACGCACTCACCGTAGAGGAACACATTCCCGAGATTGAGACTGGATACCAGTGCCGCAGGATCTGGAACACTCGCTCCACTCGCTCCACGTACCCCAAGTTCCTCTCACCCTATTGTCACGTCCAATCCCGAACTGCGTTCTTTCTTGTAACATATGGTAGACCTGATACAATCAACACCGTTCCATCAATCATCAATGTTTCTCAACTTGAAAATAATCCTACAGTCACACGTAAAGTGAAAGAATGTTTTGAAATGATAAAAAGAGAACGCGAGAAGAGAAAGAGTTTTCGAGTATACCTTTTCTTAATAAATCTTTTCTCTATACTTGTTACATGTATAATAATTTATTAAATTGTTTCTATAAACACAGATAAATCTCGTTACTCGGCTAACTAAATCTTAATATGATCGAGTAGTATATAAGTTTCTTTTTTTTGCCCATTCATATATATACACATATGTATATACCTATACGAGTATATTCACATATTCTATTCAAATTCTTTAATTATTTTCCAAAATCTCTAATCAATGATTCGTGTAAATATATTCCGGCGTAAATTTTATAACAACAAATGCACTTGTAGATTTATCTACAATCCAGATAACCACGCGAGTGCAAAGAACGATAATAGATTTTCTAGGATAAAACTCCAATGTGTGAAGGTACTTGAGCAATAATTAAACAAGCTGATGAGTACGCGTCCAATATTCTATTTGTATTAATTATACGCCGGCATTATAAAGCACAAAGTTGTTTGTTCGGTAATTAATATTGTTACCACGAACGAGATTCCAATTAGAGCGCGTGCGTTTCGATACTGTGAAGCCTTGTTGTGATTAATTAAACGAAGGATCGATTACCGTATTGCATATATCACACAGCGGCGTGAACTTGCGGCGTTCGATCTATCTCCGCGCACCACGCGGCTATCATCCGTTATATTAACTTCTGTCGGAAGCTCGCTAAGGCAGCATCGCTCTACGGAAAGAAAGACTCGATTCTCGTGTGAACATTTCCTGCACATCATGCTTCATATTCACGATCCTCCCTCCCTCCAATCACGCTCGTCTAATTAATCAAACAGACGAGTCGCATATTTCGCGCAAACTATGCACGTAACATTTTGAGTCTCGAATATAAATGATCGACTTTGCCAAACCTTCCGCGAATAATAAACGTTGAATCTTGAACGGCCTCTTAAATGTGCCTCTTAAATTTACTCCATACATAGCATTCGCTAATGCGATAATGCTAAATTATTTTTATTTTAAATTTGATTAAATTGATTTGTATTGTAACAAACTTTTTACGTTCCACACCCGCGCTTTAGCCCTTTCTTACAGCCCTTTTTTCTGTTAGCTTTTTTTCTTGTCATTGTAAAGACAGTACGTGTAAAGATATAGTAGCGTGTAATATAAGAAATGATTGCAGATATTGTATCCGAAACAAAAAATTTGAGCAGAGTTGGCTACCGAGAAAATTTGTTGTCAAAAAAAGCGGTAATGCATGATACATAAGTATTATAGTATCTAGTAAATATTTCTCACATTTCAACGTTATCAAATTCTTCTTATTATCGATTTCTTGATATTTCTTATTAAAGCATTTGGAAACATACGTAGGTATATTAAACATTTCGGAGAAGCGACCTTGGCGTAAGTGCGAGATAAGGGTCGCAGGTGTGACTTCAAGTAGCAGGAATGTCGCGTTTTCTAGGCCGCGTGGTCTATTTTCGTGTCAGCCGTAACGCCGCAACGCTTTCCAGAACAAACGGACTCTTTAAGCTGTAATTATAACATGGTGGTGGCGCCGGCGGTAGCGGCGGTGTTTGCGTTCATTCTCGTGTCGTGCGTGCTTGGCATGGCCTTGCCCGAGATGCGTTCTGCGCCAGTGTAATTTAGGGACCTTCTCTCGCTCGGTGTCAATTAATTATCCTCTTGGCGTAATGCCACCCGGTATAGCGGCCACGTAATTGCGTATTAACTCTCGCTAGTGAATTGACTTAATATGCATCGCGTACGACCGAGACTCTTGTCGAAGAGGCAAACGAGATCGCCAAGAGATAGTCGATCGCAGCAAGCCGTGCCGAGCTTGTCACACGCGGACACGATTATCAGTTAACGCTTAATCGGTACCATCGACCCTTAACGAAAATCACGATAACTAGTTTGTCGTGCAACATATACTGTGTGACAAATCGATAATCTTCAACGATTTATCATCTACTAATGAAAGCATCGACGCTTTATTATCTATCGAAACACGACAAAACACGAATGTATTGTTGAAACATTTTTTGGAAAAAAACAAACTAAAAATTTTCAATTTAATTAGTTACTTAATTTACAAAGAACTTGAAGAACTTGAATTGCAATAAATAATATTTTTCTAATTTTCTAATTAACAAATGCATTTTCTCACTCCTTGAAAACATTCGTTGATTGCAACAATTCGCAAAATTTGTAAAAAATTGTAAAATTGTGTTCTTCCACGAAGACTCACCTCTATAGGATACTTTTCGGGCATGTGGAAGGATGCGACACTGGCCGTGCTCAGCATCATCAGAGCTAGAATCGATCTACAACAGAGACAGAAGGAGTACATTGTATAAA